TTTAAGAGTTATCAACAGAACAATTGATTTTTTATTTGGGACACCCTATATATTTTTAATTAAATAAGAAGGGTTTAAAAGTATCTTTCCAAAAATATTGCACACTTGATATTTTGTTATAATTCCCTTCGAAATACAGAATTTTTAAAAGTTCGCCACTTTTAACTAGTAGGCTTTGGAGCAATTTTTGCAGTCAATTTCAAGAACAATTGAGTAGCTAACGTAGATCATAGCCGTTGGCCGTCGAGGCCGCCACTTAGTGCCTATATATGGATCTAATCCTATGGATATATTTGCGGAAGAATAAAGGTTCTTATTTTTAAATTGCCGATATAATCTCTAAATTAGAAATACTTAGCAGTTATGAGAGGGTATCTTTCACCCCCACTGAGTTAATGAATTCCGCGAGAAATGTTCAAAAACGGCCCTGTCTGTCCATAACAGAAGACGGTCGATATGTCGAACACCTGTAGCAAAATCTCATGTCTTGGTTTGCTATTTATTTTTATTCTTATTAGATATAGTTTAAATGTGTTGATGTTTGTTAAATATATTTTAAATTGTTATAAAATTCTGCATCTCTCATAGCAAATATTATTTTCGTTTTAATTGATGCTCACAGCTAGAATTATTTTGCTTTTGGGCGAATTTTTATAAACTCTATATCTCGAAGAGGAATCAAGCAAAATATCAAGTATGCTATATTTTTGGAAAGGTAATTTTAAATTATTTTCAATACATTAAAAATATACAAGGTGTCCCATATAAAAATTCAAATTTTCTGTTGATAATTCATAACTTATTAATTTTAAAAAAGTTATACTCGAACCATTAAATTCTACATAAAAAGGTGCTATGGAAATGTTATCATAAAAATACAAACATTTAACATTTTCCATAGCAAAAAAGTTACAACGATTTGTTAAAAATTCGTATTTCTGAAAAACACCAAACCAAACCGAAACTTCTGCCGAAACGGTAACAAATATCGATATGCGGTTTTCATCATCATGTTTTTGACAAAAATTGAGCTCCAGACACCGATATTAAGTTTCGTCTATCTCCTATAAATATAAATCCTATAAAAATAAAGTCCTCCTACTCTGGGTGCCTGCTCACCAAGGGATAGAAGACAATGAAAACGCAAATAATCTAGCTAGGAAAGGAGCCAACACTCCACTAACTGGACCAGAACCGTTCTGTTTTCCAAGCGGAAACCAACTGAAAGCGGAACTGAAGAATCTGGAAAATTAAAAAATTTCGTTATAACCGAAATAGCCCCAATTATGGCCCCACTAGCAAAACCGATGATTAAAACTATGCTAGCTGCCGTAGTTGAACTCATCTAAATAGTTTTTTTTTAGCTGGAATAATAAATTATAATACACGTTAAGGTACATTCAGGCTGAGAGCGTCGAGCGTCGCGTCCGCCCCATTGAACTCGAACCCCGACGCTCAGCGGACGCTAGCGCAACACCAAACGCGACGCTGTCTGCCTGAACGGTCTAATTTAAGTTAAGCGAATTGATTCCATTTTGACACGCGGACGTGACGCTCGACGCTCTCAGCCTGAATGTACCTTTAGACCTCCTGAAGATATCAAAATATTTACATTTTTATTTTTAGAATTTCCACAAATTATACTTCATAACAATTTTAGAATAATTATATAATTTTTTTTTTCGTATACTCGCTATTTTAACCCGTGTATTTGTATATACTAGTAGATTTTTAATTATAACATTATGCAAGAAACATGCACTCTTAAAATGGTAAATTTTGCAGTAAACACATTTTGATGAAAATATGTTTGTTCCCTAAAAAAATTGTGTCTTATAATATAATTTTTTACCTTTTTCACGTTCTGCATTTTTTCATTTAATGACACTCAAATGTTTCGTCTAGTAGTTTTCAAAAAGTTCTCGCAATTTAGAGATTCGGTGAAAGCTTCAGAGAACAATACCCAGTCGTATTCCTCAAGTTTTCTTTTTCTTGAAAAATAAAAACCACAACGACACTTGGCTTTTATTATTTAGTTTTAATGGTGTAATAATTTATTTATTTTAATATTATAATAGTGGCATTTATTAAAAAAAGTGGTCCATCCCATAATTTTTTTTAGTTTTTTGGATTTTTTTTATATTTTATGATGTGCCATTAAAAATACAATAAAATTATATAAGGATTCTTGCCACTTAACTGCTGATCCTCTGTTTAATTTTATTCTACGCTGTGTTTGTCATAATGCGGATCAACCTGCTCTCACTACCGGTTTCGGAGCCCTACTCCATCATCAAGTGAGCTTGGGCAGATCCACAAAATGACAACCACAGCGCAGAGATAGTTAATTCCGACTTGTCGGAAAGTATCGGTTAGATATTAAGTCCTGAACGGGAGATAGCGGCCTGCGTGCAATGGTAGTACTTTCGTACCACCGAGGCGCAACTATCGATAGTAAAAGGATGGTAAAAGGCTTTTTTTCAGGCAAGCCAAATTATAAAATAGAAAACAAATTTCTTGCAGTAGAGGTATATAATAAAATTATATAAGGATTCTTGCCACTTAACTGCTAATATAGAAATTTAATTCTACGCTGTGTTTGTCATAATGCGGATCAACCTGCTCTCACTACCAGGTGGACACCATTTTTTTATATTTTTTGGACAAATTTTTTTGTTTTTATTTTTTATGATGTAGCATTAAAAATACATACAACCCTAAATTTTCACCTTTCTACCATCAACCCCTAGTTTTTAATAGCGATATATTCAATTCAATAATTTTCAACCCGGGTAGATAACTGATCAATTTTCACTTGATCAGTTATCCAAAACCAAAAAAATCATCAGGAAAATAACACAGGGTTTTTTTCTGACACCAGCAAGCAATAATGACGCAACGAATCGTTTGATTAGTAATTCAATAATTTTCAACCCGGGTAGATAACTGATCAATTTTCACTTGATCAGTTATCCAAAACCAAAAAAATCATCAGGAAAATAACACAGGGTTTTTTTCTGACACCAGCAAGCAATAATGACGCAACGAATCGTTTGATTAGTAATTCAATAATTTTCAACCCCGGACGATAACTGATCAATTTTCACTTGATCAGTTATCCAAAACCAAAAAAATCATCGGGAAAATAACACAGGGTTTTTTTCTGACACCAGCAATCAATAATGACGCAACGAATCGTTTGATTAGTAATTCAATAATTTTCAACCCCGGACGATAACTGATCAATTTTCACTTGATCAGTTATCCAAAACCAAAAAAATCATCAGGAAAATAACACAGGGTTTTTTCCTGACACCAGCAATAATCGTTTGATTAGTAATTCAAAAATTTTCAACCCCGGACGATAACTGATCAATTTTCACTTGATCAGTTATCCAAAACCAAAAAAATCATCCGGAAAATACCACAGAGTTTTTTTTAACTGACACCAGCAATAAATAATGACGCAACGAATCGTTTGGCGCATTGGAGTGTCCTTCCTAGATTCCTGCCATCTATCCCCATTAACCCACCCGGCCTCAGGTGCTAAAAAAGGCGATAAAAATGGTAATATGCCAGAATGCATCGGCCTCAAGCATTATTGGCGGACCTTGACCCAATGGCAGGGTCAGACCGGGACGGCCGAGGCGCCGGCGCCGGCGATGGTCGCCGGGACGCTCGGCGTCGTCAACTTTGGCCGCGACCGATGCCAGTTTAACTGTTGCTCCTGCTGGAAGATCCGGGATAACGCCGAAGCAGGATAAGCGCGGTGTGGAGCGATATAGCGATCGTTGACGCGAAAAAAGTTTTTGACTTTGAAAAAAAAAACTTGAAAAAAAGTGATATTCAGATTTTTTTGTAGAATTAACAGTTTTTGTTAAATAGTTAAATGACTTAAATATAGTTTTTAGTGCTTAATTTTTGGATGTTGCTTGAAAATGCTTAAATAATGGTATGTCTAAACTACATAAAATATAGTGTGTCCAACAACAAAATCCTTCAGAGTGATAGATGAGGTTGTCGTTTTAATTTCAAAGTAGTTTATTTTATTTTAAAAAGAAATAAATTGGTTTGGTTTGGTTTGGAAGGAAATTAATGTATTTAAAGGTTTTAGTCACAAATGATTACTTCAAAATACTATGAAAAAAACTGTATAAAATCTAATCAAGTTATTTTATGAAAAAAATTGTGTGAGCACTCACTATGTGCGCATATTTTATAACAGCTATTAAATTATGGATTTGAAGGATATATATTTTTTTTATGAATGCTTTCTATAAACTTTAAAAAAATTAGAGTTAATATAAAACTGTATACTTGTATACCTACTATTCTAGCTTTATAATTTTATAATGGTTCTATTCTAAATTCTATAATTTTATAATGGTATGAATGCTGTCTATAAACTTCAAAAAAATTAGAGTTAATATAAAACTGTATACTTGTATACCTACTATTCTAGCTTTATAATTTTACTAGCATGTACCCGCGACTTCGTTCGCGTCGAATTAATCATTTGTAATGGTGATATGATAAAGCAAAGCAAGAATTTCCATTAACATACAAACTGGAGCAGAATCGTGGTTAATCAATTGCCCAACTTTTTGGAACACCCTGTATGATTTTTTAAAAAATTTTAAAATATGTAAAAAACAAAATAAATTATACGTGTCCAAGCGTTTTCCCGAAAGACTAACTGTTTTTTAAATAACAAATATTGTAATATTTGAAGGGCGTTTTCACCCTCTTGGAATTTGAGATTCGAGAAACCCTTCCTTATCGAACCTCTACACTCCACTGTCAATCCGTTTGCCAAAATCAGCATTAAACGTCAAGCAGCTTAAGCAGAATCGTGATTACTCAAGGGTCATATTTTATGAAACACCCTGTATAAATTTTTAAAAAATCTTAAAATATGTAAAACAACAAAATAAAATATACGTGTTTAAGAATTTTTCCGAAAAACTCACCGGATTTTAAATAAAAAATATTCTAATATTTGAGGGGTGGCTTCACCCCCTTAGAATTCGAGTTTCGAAAAATACCTTCTTATCGAATCTCTACACCCTAAAGTCAATCCGTTTTCCAAAAATTAGCTTTTTGCGTCAAGCGCTTTAAGCAGGATCGTGATTAATCATTGACCAGATTTTTCGAAACACTGTATACATTTTTAAAGTCTTAAAATATGTAAAAAACAAAATAAAATATACGTGTTCAAGCATTTTTTCGGAAACTTGATCGTTTTTTAAATATGGTAATACTTGAGAGGTGGTTTCACCCTCTTGGAACTGGGATTTCGAAAAATCCCTTCTTATCGAACCACTACACCCTAGAATCAACCTGTATGCCAAAATTGAACTTCTTACGTTGAGTGGTTTGAGCAGGACACCCTAAAGTCAATCCGTTTTCCAAAAATCAGCTTTTTATGTCAAGCGCTTTAAGCAGAATCGTGATTAATCAATGATCAGATTTTTCGAAACACCCTGTATACATTTTTAAAAAATCTTAAAATATGTAAAAAAGAAAATAAAATATACGTGTTTAAGCGTTTTTTCGGAAACTTAACCGTTTTTTAAATAAAAAATATTGTAATATTCCACCCCTCTTTTTACCCCCTTAGGGGATGAATTTTAAAAAATCCTTTCTTATCTCACGTAAACATCATAAAAGGAATCCCTGTGCAAAATTTCAGCTTTCTAGGGTCAAGCGTTTGGTCTGGGCGTTGATGAGTCAGTGATCAGTCAGGACTTAGAGATTTATATATATATATAATATAATATAATAATATTTATATATATATATATATATATATATATATATATATATATATATATATATATATATATATATATATATATATATATATATATATATATATATATATATATATATATATATAGATAATGTTTTTCTAATAAACTGTGACCATTAAACCAAAATACTATTACATCTGTATCTCTGGCCACTACTAACTGCTACTACTAACCAACAATTTGTTTTGTGTAGTCTGTGGTCTGTTTTTGTATAAATGTTTTGTTCATTATTCATATTGGGGATTTTTTTTTAAATTAATGTTAATCGTTAGGCAATCAGTATTTCTTTTGCATAATCAAAATTGTCACTCTAAATTTTACATAACCAAATTCTCACTCTAAATCGCTGTTTTCTTTCGACAGACTTCACATTCTCAGAATGTTGTTAACAAAATAAAATTTTAATCAATCACAATTGTTTATCTCCATCATTTATCGGATGAATAATACAAAAAGTACAGCTCAATTACAAACAATTCATTATTTATAGTGATTCATAGTAATTTTATTAAATTATATGAATACCGTCATTAATTATTGGTTTGAAATAAATATTTATTTATTCGCGTCAAAAGCGTTGCATATAAAAAAAAATTTTATATATATGCACAAAAATACCAACAAAAAAAAATATACAAAGTGTATAAAAACAAACAAAAGAAAATTGCAAAAGTAAAATTGAAGACAGTTACAAACATAAAAATTGTAAAAATAAACAAGAAAAAAAAATGAACATTGTACAAACACTAAATATTATCAGACCAAAAATTAGCAACATCGACGGCATTTCCTGTGGCCTGCAACAGGTCGTCAAACGTACAAGAAACTGGACACTGAGAGCAGTTATATAGATGTCTGGTGGTTTGTTCTGTACCACATTCGCATAATGTTGATGGATCTGTAAGAAAATTCCATTTAACCATATTATCCTTTGTTCTACCAATCCCACTTCTTAATCTGTTGAGAGACTTCCATGTTTTCCACTGCAGGTCTGCACCTGGCGGAAGGGATTCAGAAGGTGGGATCCATGATGCGATATCTGCATTTCTCAGTGTCCACAAGTTTTGTCGCGCCATCGATGGAGGTGCACCGTCATCGATAGTGGTTTTTAGGAAGCTCTTTCTAGATTTCAGTGGTTTTTCTATTTAGGGCAGGTTGATGTCCATGCAACGGATGAGCAGCGTTTACTTCCATCTTATGTCTCTCGATGTTCGCGGCAGCTTCCCTTCTTATATCTGGCGGGGCTATCCCTGCCAAACTGTAGAGTTTGAAAGCAGTAGTTTGTAGCCCTCAGACATCCCGATGTTATTCGACAGGTCTCGTTCAAGGCAATATCCACATGACTGGCATGGGCAGATCTGTACCAAACAGGGCAGGCATATTCTGCAGCAGAATAGCATAATGCAAGCGCCGATGTTCTTAATACTGCCGGTTGAGCACCCCATCCGTTACTTGCGAGCTTCCTAATAACATTATTGCGGGCAGATACTTTCTGTTTAGTATTTAAACAGTGTTTCCTAAATGTGAGCGAACGATCTAGAGTAACCCCCAGATATTTTGGATTACGGCAGTGTTCCAGCTCCAAACCATTCCATACAACTTTTATTTTTCTATTGGCATCTTTGTTACGTAAATGAAAGACACATACTTGGGTTTTAGCCGGATTCAGGTTTAGATGGTTATCTTGATAATATGCTGTGAGAGTGTGAAGTTCATTATGTGTTAGACACGTTTCTGCTGTTTCGAAATCTTTGGCTTGAGATATTAGCGCCAGATCGTCAGCATAAATAAAACTTTTTGTGTTTGGGAGGTGTGGCTGGTCGTTGCTATAGATGTTGAATAAGATTGGTGTCAGAACGCTACCTTGGGGTAGGCTCCTTTTTTGTATCCTCCACCTACTCTTCTTGCCATTTAGTTCTACATAGATTCTACGGCTCTGGAGAAGAACTCTTACGAGGCTAGTAAATATGTAGTCTTTCGTCAGTTGATATAATTTATGTAGCACGATATTATGCTGCACAGTATCGTAAGCCGCGGAGAGATCTACGAAAACAGCACCCGTAACTAAACCCCGCTCAAAACCATCTTCGATATTCTGTGTAAGATTAAGGATTTGTGCTGTGCAATTTTTATTTGGTCTAAATCCAGCTTGTAGCAAATCAATATAAAAATATGACAGTGTCCTCCAATGAAGATGCGAGTCATAATAGTTCTCAAAACATTATATATGTTTAATCACAACATTATTTATTTAAACCAAAAACTCGTTATATAAAACTAAAGTGACAAAACGAATGACAATGTCAGGAAATAAATAAACGGCAATTTGATTTTTTTTACAGAAAAGCTACCCCCTGAATCCCCAGCTCGAAATTTAAATTCCAGTTAATCAGCCATGTACGGAATATATCCATGGTTGGGCAACAATAAATTTAAAAATCGCGACCACGATTACGTATCTAAAACTTTAATTGATATCGAATATAATATATATAAATGTAATATTCTCAAATGTGACGTCACGAAAGTTAGGACCCCTTGTCGCACAGTATCACATTTCGTAGACCCCCTCCCTCCCCCGTAACCTTTGACGTAATTTACGTATGGCACTCGAACCCATTACACCTTTGCTCATATTTCAAATACACTCCGCTAAATTTATTTTGATGGATCGAGTTTCTGGCTAAATCGTTTCCATATTTTGTTCGGATTACATTTGGCACCGAGGTTAGCCACGCAAGCCACTTTAGCGTTGTACGTTTCGAAGCATGCACCGTTAGCGTTCCTCAAGGTTTAATACCGCAAATTTCGATAATATTTACACAAGGAGACGCTCTATATTCATAACAATGTCGGAAGAAACATAGGGTAAATCGTTGATTCGGTTGTGTTTGGATTAATTTTGAAGGAAATTTGAATGTTTGCATTATCTTCAATTATGCAACGCTAAATATTTGCGTAAACTGGTTTACATTACTAAGCCGCGATTCATAAAGAAGAAATCTGAAGCATCGTCATAATATTTAAATCAGGATTACGTATAATAAAGTATATTTAATGAGTTTTTCAGTATTTTTTCCCTCAGAGGATTGTGTTCTAATCTTTATATATAAATTTTCATAAATACTACAAAATTTAT